TTTTAACTTCTGACGGTAAATAGAAAATTAGCAAAGAAGACAAACAAAAACAAGAAAAATGGCAATAAATGTTTTAGATAAACAGTAACTGGATGAAAGTTCTCTGAAAATGGCAGCTGAAGAGTAGGAAGCGACAGTTTCTTTGAGTGAAAAACGCCAGTTGCACAAAGGAAAACTTGGATTGAACAAGAAAATATGGCTACTGAATACATAAACCGGAGAAGTTTCTGTTTTCTGATTCTCATGTTCTGTGCTTCCCAACAACAGAGTCTCAATAGCGTCTGAAGCATTTTTCACTAAGTGATGGATCAGGGCTGATGCTGGATGGGAGTGACATTGTTAATGAGGTTGAGAAGGAGGCAGTTAATGCTTATCCCTGTGAGGAAGTGTCTTGGACGTTCTCATTACTAAAAAGGCTGGAATGTGTGAAAGCTAACTTACTTCTGGACTCAACGCTGCTCCTTGAGGTAAAACCGCCATCGTGACAGGAATTCCCTGGCCGGAAGTGGTAAAAACGTGCCGCACCACAACTGGCGGACTCGCCTGGCGCTGTTGGAACGGAAGCCCCGGCCGCCCTTTCTGGCCCAAAGGTTTAATTCCATTGTTATCTGCGGAAAAAAGCCGTTTACTAAAATTTGCAGTTGACAGCAAAACTCTTCGGTAACAACCTGCACCAGCAACCCGTTTTGCAATACTGTTGCCGATGAAAGCGTTACAACCGAGCTTCGCTTGATTCGGATTGATTTCCTTTAAGTATCAAAGCATTGCAAACAAGAAAAAAACATATTGTTACGTACACCTACTTGCAGTCTGGAAATTTCCAGATGCAGGCAGAGGTGGGGTGAAAGTTTTACTCCCTCGCGATGAAGTGACTGAGCTATACTGAGTTTGCCGGTTATCTATCTTCTTACTATTATTCACTGCGGCCGCCGCCAGCAGGCTGGGGGGCGGCTTCAGCTGGCACTTGAGCTGATCCCGGTTCGGGCTATTCTGGATCACAGCCTGACATATCTGATAGCTGCGCTCCAGGTTAACCGCACCGGGTGGAGGTTTGTTGGTATTGGCACGATTCCGGCTACCTGCTGAAATAATCCGAACATTAAAAACAAACCTTTGAGGACACAATCGATGGGAAAAAGCAGCGCTCATTGCGTGAAACTGATGAGTTTTTTAGGACTTTAGGCCGTCGTTAAAAAGAATTTCTTGCGCTGGCCAAACTACTCAACGGGCTCAAAGCCCTCATCAGTTTCAGTTGGACTCAGAGGACTGGTTCCTCTCGCTCATGAAAGCCCGTACTTTGAGCAAAACATACAGCTATTTTGGGGAAGCTGTATGTTTTGGTCATTTGGTCTACTCATTTTGGAAAATGAGGCTGACGACCATTACCTTTACCTATATTATTAGTCTTTGGTTTGTTCTTGCTATGAGTGGGCACTGCTCTGATTGGCTGGCTGGTGCTCAACGCCAAATAGGGCAGGGCGCTGGAGCTCTGCACCAATCCGGGCCGCGAGATCGGCGGCCCGCACTGAACCGTCTCGCCGGGGATCTGCATAGGGGCTGTACTAACAGCCGAAGGCAGACAGACGATGGTAGTCGGTGGGATGACGGTGGTTACAGTCTTGGCTGTAGCGGAGCTCCCAGTCAGATTTGTGTCGTTGTTGTTCGACGTCACTGTGCTAGTAATCAGAGTATCGGAGCTGGCGATTTCCGGAGTGAGCGTCACTTCAAGCTCCAGCTTCACTTGGCTGTAGTCGGGGTAAACTGGCGATTGCTTGTCGTCGACTTTGGCCTCGTTCTGATTAGGGCCAAGGGCGGCTTCTACCATTTCTGAGTCCATTTTCACGTCGTACGGCCAGTCGTTCGGAACGGGAAAGGTGCCTTGTTCTAGACGCACTTCCAGTTCTTCTTGCATCGGAATGACCTGAAATTGTCCCACAATGATTACGAGTTTATCCCAGCTAAGTCATATTGTAGGTGAAGTTAACAAACGCTTAAAGAAAGTTACTTTCGGAAATAAACGGCAACATAGGGGCTGATATACATCAAGAAAATACCACCCGCAAAATCCCTGTCAAGTCATAGTCAAAACCTTGCACTTTTTCAGAATATGTTGAGTAACGACAATTTTAACCCGCTTTAAACGTGCATATTTTGGCATCAAAACATCAAACAACCCGAACTACAGCAAATTAGAACTAAACCCACATACCTGAACATTATCAGCAGCACCAAGATCATTCGGAATGCTGACTGGGACACTCACAGCTTGTCCCAAACTGTGCAGCGGTGGAACTTGAAGTAAATTTTCGGTACTCGAGTCCACCAAACCCCAGCAACATTCTTCAGCAACTGTAAAAGAATTAGCGGTCATTTAGGAAACAAAACAACTGCCCTTCGATTGTGTGAGTGTGAAACGCGATCTGCTCTTGTTGTGACTAAGAATAATCCAAAACAGTAAATATGTTGTGTTCAGTGATTTTCATACAGTGCATACATAATGGCCCTGCACTTTGATTGAAGCGATAAAGACTGGGAATTTACAGTCTACTAAGAGCTGATTGTCTGTTATCAGTAGCCGGCATGGAATCAATGATTTTTGTATACTTAGCTGGTGGAAAAAGTCTTACCTGTGGTGACAGCATCGCCAAACAAAGTAGCTTGAATCTCATCTGCTTCGGACTTTTTGTTGCTCTTCTCCGATGTGGATACGGTAATTTGCCCGGATTCCAGGACATAATTTTCGGCATCCATAAACCGATCCTCGCCATCGTCGTCCTGAATAATCTTGGCGGCAGCAAAGCTCACCAAGTCAGCTTCTTCCACACTAGCTTCCAGCTTTTCGGCCGTTACTTCTGTAATAATGTCTTCGACGAATTCGGGCTTCTGCAGCACCAGGGACTCTTGCTGGATGATCAGCGAATTAGGCAGCATTTGAAACGTTTCGTGGATCTGCTGCTCCATTTTCTCAACAGGTTGTTGAGATTGTTCGAAGTTATCCGGCAAAGCCTCTTCCATTACGTGATCTGAGGTATCCGGGATAGCATCGATGGTGTTGTCAGGCTCAGAACTTTGGGGCAAGTTGGTTTCAGCTGCGAGTTCTTCGGGCGCCTCCTCCGGTTGTTGTTCAGAGGAGTGACAAAACTTACTCAAAGTCTGCATGTTTTCGCTGAAGCTCTCCTTGCTTTCCTCCATGCTGTTGGTTTCTTGTGAACTAATGCTAGGCAGGTTCGTTTCGGATTCGCATGGAGCGTTGTCGGAAACCTCTGGGATGGATGTCATTGTGTCGTCCTGGTCCTGAGTCATTTCTGATTCCTGCTCCGATTTAACGTCCGTGTTGCTGCTGGTTGCTGATGTGCTGGATGAGTTGTCGTCCACTTGGCTAATCTCATTGGCTTCCTCATCTATGTAGTTCATGTGCAGTTGCAAGGAATCGACGGTTTCAATTACCTGACTACTGGAGGTTTCCTCCAAATTGTGCGCAGGCATGCTGCAGGAGCTGCTGCTGTTATCATCAATTATTCGGTCCTTGTCATAGATCTCCTCGATGGGCTCTGTGCTTTCCAATGTGGGCTCACTGACTTTTTCATCGTCACTGGGCGCTTCGCACGTTATATCTAATGGATCCTTGAGCTCAGTGCTCTGGAACCGATCGGCAGGTTCCGGCGAGAGAGCTAACGGACTCATGGACTTGCTGCGTTTCGGCGAGTTTTCATAAGAATCTGAACTGGCTGAACGAGGCCGTTTCTCAGATTCAGTAGTGATATCTTCTCTGCAGATAATGATTGTCTCCTGATTATTCTCTAAAATAGCATCACTTATATTAACTATACAATTATCGTGTATTTCTACAGCGGGAATATCACTAGGAAGAGTCGGCTTTGCTTCCTCTGATTCATCCTTTGCAGTTTCCGGTACAAATACCTCTTCAGCCTTGTGCTGAACTTCTCCACTTTGTACTTTGCTTTTAACTTGCTTAATGGGCAATAGATCGGGGATTTGGGATTTGGTTTCACTGACCGGCTTGGATATCTCCTCTTTCAAGATGGTACATGAGCGTGTCATCGCACCGACAGTCCGCAGCTTCTTAACAGGAGGAGGAAGTGGAGGGGCTTTACTTTTGCTAGTGGCTGATGTGGTTGAGGGCCTTAACTTAATGGTGGTTTTCAATGAGGGGCGAGATGTGCTGGCAGTCCGACAGGGGCCACTTGGGTCACTACCTGACAAGCTCCTGTCGCCCCAAATCGGCTCAAAATGCTTGAGCTTCCAGGGGTCCAGCTTACTTCTCTCCTTATCCGCTTCCAGTTTCAGCTTCTGCTGGTTTTCGGGCGTAAATTCGCCTTCAGCCAGTCGATCCTGCCACTCCAGGCAAGCCCTAGCAAAGAATTCATTGTTCAACCCCGAACTAATCTCTATACAATTGGGGTCGGTTGAATTGTTCACTAGCTGCCGGTCGACGAGTGGCAAAAGTTGAGAGAGTTTGTTTTGATACAAAACAGGCAACGAAGCGAAAGTGCCCTTGTTCAGCAATAACCTCAAATTCGTGTTCACTAGAATGGAATCGGGGGTTTCCAAGTCAATACAGCCCGCTTTGGTCTGTTCCAACTGGGCAGCAGTGGAGAGCTTCTTGTTGGTGCGTTTCCTGGTCTTCATGTTGAAGCCAGGAATTGAAGCTAACACTTCTTTCATAGTGGGAGTTCTGCTGGATATTTGAGGCACTGCGTTGATGTCTTCAATCCCACTATCCGGGGGCAGTCGCTTGACAAGGATTCTGGGCACAGAGGCTGATGAATTGTTCGACGCTATGGTGTTCCTTTTTCGGCGTTTAGCTTGTTGTCGTAGTGCATGCTTGATTGTTTTCTTGTTGCTGATAGTAGAGAGCGGATCTTTGCTGGCTACAGTTTGGGTGCCGAATGCACTCGCTGGGGCTGTACAATCAACAGGAGAACTTTGAAAATTTTCCTGCTCAACATGACATAATGCAAACGAATTTATATCTGTGTTACCAGCAGGAGTAACGTCTATTTCCATCACGTAACCACCCGTTGTGCATGAATCTTCCCCAGATCCCTGCTCAGAAGAATCGTCTCAGAACTCCTATCAAACAATGATTTTTTTGTCACAAATACATTCACCCCATATTAGCACTGTGTGGAGGGAACCGCACATAAAGCGAATCGTCTGATCGCACGCCACGATAAACATTGAAACGCTTTTCCCGATAGTCACTGCACGACGCTTTTCCGATAGACTTTTAACAATAATACACCATCCGCCATTTCATAACCGAGCCTGATATAAACAGGATATATATTTTTGTGGATTGAACGTACTCAGATCAAGGGCAAACATCTTTGTATTGGTACTTCCGACCACATCCAACTGTCAGTTTCTTCGTGTGGTCACCCTGCTGCTCTTCCCAAGATCATACAAAAATCCCATTCTACTTTCACCTACAAGACTCGGTACAGACTGTATTTACTTAGTTTTTAGTCTCTAGTTTTTATAGGAAAAGTCTTCCCTCAAAACTGCGATTTATATGGAAAAAAGCCACAAAAATATAGCCGATTGGTAGCCCTTACCAAAAAAAAATTACCAACAACTAGTGATAGGAAAGCGAGACACACTGACTGCTTTGGGGACAAAGATTTCTGGTAAGAGAGAAGTAAAATAGGAATTTATTGTTCAATTAAATATAAATTAGAGATAATTTTTAACAGCAAATAACTAGTCCATTTTTATTTTTATTGGAAACAGACGCTTAAAGTATATTGCAAAAATAATAAACTGATAGTGTTTTAACCAAAATACTAAATATAAATTATCCCTCGTTTATACGAATATGCCCATTACTAGTGGCAACAATCAAAAAAGGGAAGAAAATCCCCAGAACAAAAATGGCTGTCTGTCAAACACTTGTTTGGAATTGACAAACATTTTGACGTTTGAATGGCTATAAAATTTCAGCAGGGCGAAGAACTTAATCAGCTCGCCTTTTTTTAACTGAAACGAAATTCCTCAACCATTGGAAGTATTAAAAACCAGCTCAAAAAGCCACAAAATGTGAACAGATCGCAACGAAAGTTACTACTAGTGATGCCTAATGTGCTTTTACAAAGTGGACATAAGAGTGGGTGTGCGGTGTTTTTCTAGTTAATCTTTAATATCGCTTTTACTGTCAATAAATACCAGATAAGATAATGGTTTAGGGTCTCAACATTCCTTAATAGGCGCTGAAGAGCAAAATGCTAAATATGAACCAACGAATAATCGACCTAAAGTTTTGGTAAGACTAGTGCAAACAGCAATGGGTAACAAGACTAGTTGTTGCTCGTATTCGAGCCCCCAACCCGGCCACCGGGTTGTTATACCCATCGTGGAAACATTGCCCGAAGGAGAGGTTAGTGGTTCGAATTTGCAGCACATCAGCGAAAGGGAGACTGATGATGGGGAGGCGGACCCCTCACAGGACCCCATGGCTAAAACCATATTCATCGAACGTTCGAAAACCGCAATTGAGAACGGGATGATTCGAAGAAGGAGCCAACATCAAATAGCCGATGTCAGGACATTGAAGAAAAGTAGCTCGTGTTCCACTATCTACTTGGACGACAGCACAGTGTCTCAGCCAAATCTGAAGAATACGGTCAAATGTGTTGCTTTGGCCATCTACTATCATATCAAAAATCGTACATCACAACGGGAAATTGATATATTTGATGAAGAGCTTCATCCCTTATCGAATGATGGTGTTGCTATCGACTTTGATAAGCACGACCCGGAACATAGACAGATTTATAAATTTGTGAGGACTTTATTTAATGCTGCTCAACTGACTGCAGAATGTGCCATTATCACTTTAGTGTATCTAGAAAGGCTACTCACCTATGCTGAACTGGATATTCAGCCTTCCAATTGGAAGCGAATAGTTTTAGGTATGTATTGCCTTTTTTAGCTACGCGCTAATGGCTGTTTTATGGGTCTTTTTCAAGGATTTATTTCGAGGCGAAACGGGCTATGAAAAATGGACACCCACACGCTTTTTCAAAAATCTCTAAATTTAAGGTGTAGAAGATGGTGTAGGTAACGTGTGGTTAAAGAATAATGGTTTTAAAGTAAAGTGGGACGAATGGGTTTATATATGCATATCCAATTGGTTTCTGATAGAAACATCTTCCGAAGTCCAAAGAAAATTTGTGGAGAAAATTCTCAAAGCAATTGGTTTACTTTAAGCTACACTTTAGAGCATTGAGCTAAAGTTGAAAAAATCCAGCTGAATTCGAATGATTGATTTAAATCATTTTTTATCTCAATTTTTCTCTTATTTCCAGGTGCAATTCTTCTGGCCTCCAAAGTATGGGATGATCAAGCAGTCTGGAACGTAGACTACTGCCAGATTCTCAAAGATATAACAGTGAAGAGCATGAACGAGCTGGAAAGACAGTTTTTGGAGCTGCTCCAGTTCAACATCAACGTGCCGTCTAGTGTTTACGCAAAATACTACTTTGATTTGCGCACATTGGCCGAAGCCAACGACTTAACATTCCCCAGCGAGCCGCTAAGTAAGGAAAGAGCACAGAAACTGGAAGCAATGTCCAGAGTGATGGAGGACAAATACACGGCGGAAGCGATCAAGAACGGCTTAAAAAAGTGGTCTAGTTTGGACAATATTTCGAATGGTGGAATAGCGGCCCGTAGAAGCGTAGCAATATTATCTTAGGCGATTTTTCGCAGGGAAGCTTATGTGATTTTGTGGCAGTTTTTTTGGAGGTGGGCCACCCATTGGCACCATCTGCAATCGAACTGTCGGACGACTTTTTACGAACTTCTCTGCGCGCTCTTCACCAATTAATATTAAGTAGGATTTACCAAAGTAATTTTTTATAGGACTTAGTATTTTTTAATCTCATTATTATATACTTAATGTATGTACATAATTCATGTTTATACTGCTTTCGTTTGCTAGATAATATATTTTACACCTCTAGTAAAATCCGTTGTTGTTGCGTTTTTTCCTCTTAATTTGGAGCAACTGTAGAGTTTTTTTAAGGCTTTTAGGTGGAAAAGAAACTATTTTGTACCACGGTGTAAAAGCTCGAAAAACTCAGCGGTTTCCATGCAATATCCGCCAATCAAGCTCCAATAAGATGCAAGTAATTACTTCAAGTGATGGAGGTTCAGTTAAGAAAAGTTAAAATAGTGATTTGGCTCAACGCTTCCCGAGCATTACAATTCGACTTCGCTCGCTTTTCGTGTATAAGACAAAAAACTTCCGTTCACTTTGACTTCTTATATGAATTTAGCGTGGCTTCGGAAACAGTCAACAAATTCGCTATGGTATAAAAAAATCGCAACTTCTACCCATAACAGCAGAAATGCCAAATAAAAATCTTTAGAAGAACAATCCTCCACTATCCCCGGCCTCCAGTCAATTGGATCATAAGGAAAAAAATCGGGCAAATAAATTATAATAAAAAAAACAGTTGGGAAGGTACATTTTCACAGAATGAGTGGTTTGCAAACTAATCTGCAATATGCATTTTAACACAATAAAAAATCAAGTACTTACAAAAGTATGTGCAATAAGAATTTGAACTATACCAAGGACCCCAAATTAGGGTGGCAGCTTTGCTAAATGGCAGTTATGAAAGAATTACCTAGACCCCAGTTGATTAGTCGTTTAAACCCGGACTAAAAATAAATAAATGAAAACTCCTCTGCTTAACCATGCAAATCTACAAACGAAGGGCCGGATTCGTTGACCGGACGTAGTTGAGAAGCTCATCGGAATCTTCGCAGACGACAGGCTTCTCATGGTAGCAGGCGACGTCGTGCCAAGCGATACCATCATTGTACACGTTGTTGAGCACAGCTAGACACGATTCAGTGGTACCTGAAAAAGGGCCATCCTCATCAGCCCCAAGAAAACAGGAAAAACGACCCTCGTTACCATTGATATCAAATTCGGCGTTGTCGGGTTGCTTTTGCTTCTTGTGGCCGGTGGAAGACCAGGGGTTGTAGCCAAAGCTGGGGGGCACTTGACTGGTTGGGGCCAACTTCTCCCTATTGGCGGACCAGAACCATCCGTAGATGTTTTTGGGTTCGAGATCAGGACGGTTTTCGCAACCTTTGAAGTCGCACAGACGTCCAGAGGTCCAGATATAAGGAACATCATCTAAGGAATTAAAAAAAAGAACTTAGTTGTTGGAGTTGTACTCGAAATTGAAGGCAACAGTATTAATCAACTTGTAGATAAGTTCAAAAATTTTGTCTAAAACCAAAATTGAAATTTTGAGGCAAAATACCCAACAAGCAGTTTGTAATAAAAATGATTAATCAATGATTCAAAAGTGAAACGTGGCGCAAATAGTCAATAGCCCTCGTTCGTTTTGCGTCAGTTTCCAAATTGTAACCAATGATGGCTTGGATCCAAAATCGTTTCCACGGCAACCGACGCGTTCAGCTAGGGACAAGGTGATTTGCACCAAGTGTTTTGCATTTAAACGATCACTTTTTGGGAAATTCAGCGAGATCGAAACTGAATTTGATCCACTTCAAGACGAGTTCTCAAGATGCCGCTCGTTATTGCCAAACGCGTGTTGATTAAATCCGGTACCAGTTCCAAGATGGTAATAACAAATAGAATGCAAATTTTTAATTAATATTTTACCGTTGGCAGGCCGGCGAGAATTTATTCAAAGCCGCTCGTGAACCGACCAAGGAAAATACATTTTAAAACAATAAATTCGAGGTGTTGCAACCGTGAAATCCTTGTTGTTTTTATGGCCTAGATTCGTGAGAACTGTGATCTCACTTCCCATAGATCACATTTTTCACGTTCGTTATTTACTTGACATTAGAATCGCAATAATATTTTTCTGGTTTCTTCACTACTTTGTTAACTGGTTACAATTGGAAAGGTCAGGATGGGCTGTTTCATTTTTCTTCAGGCCTCTTAATTTGGCTGATGACTTAAACAATGGTGATGTAACAGACTTTAACCCGTCGCTATTGTTAAGGAAAACCATTCAATTTGATCAATTTTTTCATCGTTGTTATGCTTTTGATCAATCCTGATCAGTGAATTTGTTAGCTTTTCGTGGTCATACCTAAACTTGTGAGTTTTTTGATGCCCTCGAGGAAAAATTATTCCTCACGTTTCGCTAGCACCAGTGGCTTGCGTCTTCATAGATGGTTCAAGCAAGCTTGCAAGATTCTTGCAAAAAGTAATTCGATATTGAACCGCAATAAATCTGCTCTCGAAGCCCTTATTAAGAATGGTAAAAAATGAACCGTTTTAACTTTAAGTGAGAACACATAAAACTGGGAACCAATGATTTGAACAAGTGAGAGATAAATAAAACAGCGCTTAACATCTAACAGGTTACAGATAGTTTCCTTCTCTTTTAGAAACTTTTCCCGACTCGGAAGTTACGAATTTTTGAAGGCCGCCAGGCAATTGCGTAGAAACCGCAATTTTTGGGGAGTTTGAAAAGTGGTCAAAAATTGGGATTCGGTGATATTTTAATAAAATTATCAGAGTTTGTACATGCGAGTGTGTTCTAGAGAAAGCGAAAATTTCAAGTTGATGCATGCAAGTCGTGGTCTTGGTCTGGCCAAATGGTTCTTGAGAAACTTCGAAAAAAGCAGCGTCATGTTCTAGTGGATTTTGCAACTTAAAAAAAAAACCACGCAAATCTAAAACTTCTTGAATTCAAGCATTTTTTGAGAAAACTGCCAATATTTCCCCATCCATGGTTCACTTTCTAAAAAGGTCATTTATTTCTGTCTAGAATGATGTACAAATGAGCGTTCTTGCTCATTTTGCCTCCGAG